AGACCATGGCCCCTGCTTGGATGTGACCTCTTTTGTTAGACACATTTGCCTTTTTCTCTAACTACCAGGGACACTCAGAGCAAGTCTGTCATGCTGAATGCAAGGTTAGAAATAAAAGGAGGATGAAATAGACAGCTGGGTAATTTTTTGGGGAAAAAAAACATAACACTCCCCTTTAGAAAGAAAAACTCACACCACTTTTAAAAAGAGGAATGCCACTTACAGCTTCCCACTGTAAATGCAGTCACAGCTTAATATCTGAGCCATCACAAAGCTGCCAGGTANAGCCAGGTTCCCAGGTCAGACTTAAATTCTTTGTCAAAGCAGTTTGGAATCTGGAAGTGGCTGGTCACACCACGAGACACAATTTGAGCCCGAACCTTAAAATGCAAAAATAAATAAATAAATAATAACAATTAATGAACTAAAAAGTGAGCCAAAAGGCTTGCCTGCGACTTTGAAAGGTTTCTTGTAAGGAAGAATTTTGAATGAGAGTTCTCTTCAGATATCAAGAACTTTACCTATGAAATAAGGACCTGAACCTTAGAAATGCAAAGTTGGGAATTACCTGCAAGTAGAATTTGGCTGTACATAAGGGAGGAGTGTGTAATCACCAAAGGTTCCCTGCAATGCAATGTGCTGTCTGCAGTGACAGTGAGCACCTGTCAAAGCCACATGACCCCTTCACGGAGATGACAGAGAACACCAGAACACGAGTGGCTGGCACATTTTAGGCACTTAAACGTTTGCTGACATGATGGTGGTGGCAGTCATGCTGGTAGCCGTGGACATTGGTGATAGTTGTGATAACGGTGGGGTGATGGTGAGGGTGGAGGTGATGATGATGATGGTGGTGGTGATGGTAGCTGTGGAGATGGCGGTGGCTGCGACAGGTAGTGGGGGGTGGTGGTGATGACCGTGGAGATGGTAACAGTGGTAATGTTAATGGTAGTGATGGTGACGGTGGCAGTCAAGCCAGTTGTGGTGGTGTCATATGGAGCAAATGACTTCTAATGGAATCATTCCAAACTAGGTTTTCACGGCTCCATGAAGAACTGTCAAAGTTATTTAGATTAATAAACAATTAAAAGGAGTTCAAATCAAAGACAAACAATTTTAAGTCAACATGGCCTCTCCTGAGAAATATGGGTAATTTAAACTAATTTCATTTTTTCTTTATGTAATTAACAAGGTCTCCAAGGAACTTCCCCGTTGCACGCCCCACCCCATAATGGTTTTAAGTTTTCCTCCACTGATCTTGAAAAGTGTTTCTGTAACTATAATTAGGACTTGCTCCTCCACAGCAACTACTCCCTGCTTATCGTAAGCAACATTAAACACCACCGAGGACAATGACACAGTGCTGATAAGTTCCGACTTTGGCAAGGGCACAAAAACGTTTGCTAAGACCACCTCCACATGCCCCCACCCCCACCCAATACTTAGACAACTCCAAGAGTCTCGCAGAAACTGTCAGATTCCTGCTGGTGGAGAAAACCAGGGAGACTTGGAGATGGAGAGACGGTGAAGATTCTGTTAACCATTTGTTTACTTGATGAACTCACAAACACACAGGATGCTCCAGAGTCTCGGCTCAATTTCCCTTCCATCCTAGAATCCCCTTTGAGAGCAGTCCTGAGACACGTTCTTCCTAAGCCCTCTTTAAGCACATCTGTGAACTTAGCTGAGCCCGCCTGAGCCACCATCTCAGCTTACAGGAGCTCTGGGCAGGGAGTCCCGCAGGGACACTGCCTGTCACACAAACGTCTTGCTTTGATTTATTCTAAACACAACTTCCTCCAAGCTTTGAGGGGGCACTCGTTTTACAAGGAGGTCTCCCAGTGTCCTCCCCTCTTTCCTTCTCAAGAGTATTCAAAGATTAAAAAGTGGCTGTTAGAATTTCGAAGTTAAATTTACCTTGGGCCCTACAGAAACAAGAAAATTTCCTGATGATGGCTGGAAAACAGGGTTACATAAGCCCTGCGCTGGATAGAAATGTCCCCTGCTTTCTCTTGTTTCCGAAAGCTGACAAGCAGGGGCAGAAGCCTCCGCAGCCGCAGGTGGTGCATACAGAGGCGGCCTCGGCAGCCACCGCAGAATTTCAACCGAGAGGAAGCTCCTGGTTAAAATGAATGCTGCTTATTCAAATTCCCCTCTAGTAGCTCGCCTTACAAAGAGAAAGAAATGGTGCTTATCAGCTATCTGAAGCTAGAATTCCAAGGCTTCCTTCTCAGTCCAACTCAAAGCTAAATGCTTTTTTTTTTTTATTGCTCTTGTCCTCATCTCGCTGAGACTATTTCGCCCTTCAATAAAGAAGATTCTTTATCTTTCTAAACCAAGTGATACAACTTAGTTCGTGCAACAGTTAAAATTCAAGAACACCAGCCTAGCTTGCGGGGCTTGTCAAGGTGGCCACAGAGGACGTTTCCATCCTGAGTTTCCAGCACGTTCACGCTGCAGCACCGCTCCTTCAAGTTCTCGCTTCTTTGCCTGGTCGGGAGTCTAAGGGGAACGTTCTGGGGACAGCGCTCTTACCTCCGGCTCCCCACAGTCACACTCCTCTCCTTCTTCAACGTATCCGTTCCCGCACTTCTGGCCCCCGAAAGACTGCTTGAGTTCCGGCAGGTTAAAGAGGCACATCCCCATTCCCTTCTCCAGGCTGGTCTCCAGGTCCTTCCTGCTGCAGCTGCTGAACACCATGGGAAACGGGTACCTAAGGAAGGAGAGCCCAGGACAGTAAGTCATTAGGGCACGAAATGGCCTTTCCTGCTGTTCTGCTGCTGCTGTTCACAGCACCTGCTGGCACATCTGCCCAGGTGTTCCCCGGTAGTGTCAACGAACAAAGGCATAAAACGGGGCGTGTCCAGCTACCTCCTGACAATCGTTCCTGCACGGTGCCGACGCCCCTGATGAAGAACTGCTGTATCAAAAAAGAAATGATCTTCTGGTAGTTTTCAAATAAACAAATTAAAACAGAGTCATTTCATTACAGGCATTACTGATAGTTCTGGGTGGAATGAGACGACGAGAAGTGAATTCTTAGGGCGTGTAGCTTGTGATAAGAACACATACCAAGGTGCTCATTGGAAAGTGCAAAGAAGAAAAAGTACAAATGACTGTGCTCATCAGTTCCATGCTTCCAGGGATACATGCCTCCATCATCGGAAAGGGCTGGCCTCTGAAGGTCCAATCACTCACTGTCTTTCCCCAGCACAGGTGTAAGAGAATGAAAGTGGTCTGGTCCTGCTCTTGCCTCTAAAGTTCAGGGCTACAAAGGGTGTGGCAGAGTCAACCAACTCTCCAGCAGAGTTATGCTCCCTTTGCAGGGCCTATTGGGGCTGCCCAGCCCCCTTGCACCTGGGTGGGCTGCGTGACTAATTTCTGGCAATGGAAAACAAGCAGAAGTGATGTGGGCCACTTTGTCGATGGCATTTAATCAAGTATTCCTTCCTTATGTCCTTTCTTTCCTCTTCTGCCAGCTGAGATCAGGGTATTCCACAGTTTTAGGAATGCCACCTGCAGCCAGAGCCCCAGAGTGTCCTATGGGAGGGGGACACACTTCCAGTATGGTAAGCCACTGAGAATTTGGGGCCTGTTTCCTAGAGCAGCTAGTGTTACCCATCACACACAAAGTGTCTCACTCTTTTTGCAAATACATTCTCCCATGTCTTGAGGCAGCAGGGTACAAGCACGCCAGAAACCCAGAAGGTTTCCCTTGGTGAGGAAGCAGTACCCGCTGTCCGGGAAGCCCAAGGACTCTCTCCCCATAGTGACATTTATAGGACATCATAATGGATCTCAATCAGTTGGCTGCTAGGTTTCCCTGAAGATGGCAGGCTGGCCACCATGTAATGATTGGCAATATTTTGAGATCGTAATGATTTCCATGGCCTAATTGATAACACTGCACCATCTCCCAAGTGCTCTCTATCAATTTAAGGTTAACTCTGGAGTATAATTTTAATCTACAAACAAATTAATAAATGAAAGTCCTGCTCTGTTGGATGCAAAGGCAATAAACCAGGACGGGCTTGTACTGATATAACAAAGTTGCCTTTGAAATCTTTGTAACTTTCCTTGGCAGAGAGATTGATTATTGCTGGTGTCAAAATGATGCTAAATAACTTCAAACAATGATCCACAAGAAAAACTGCAATTTTTTCTATGTAGAAGGGCTTTCTATTGAAGAGACTGGTACATTATACAGGGACTTGAGAGCAGTTCTGCTCTGTTCTAGGCTTTTCACCAGGGTATAGGTCAGATCTTCTCCTACATTTGGGAGTTTTTCTAGACCATATATGCATCTCTGAGCCTGATCAGGGAGACTAAACATCATTCTCAATCAACGATATGCAACTGGTGCTATGAGAAATGGCTATCAGTTTATTCTGGAAGAGAACTGATTCCTAGAAAAAGTTCAAGTTGATGAGGAAAGACATCAGGATAAACTGTGAATCTCAGGAAGCGTTTATAGCAAGAATGACAGTCGTGAAGAGAAGCTCAAAGGAAGAGTGGTATGAATCACCCTGTTTCACATGGAGCAGAGAAGTTCCAGGGACCCCAGGAGGTGAGAGGCGGGAACCAGCCCCACTCACCGAGCTCAGACAAGTCTCCGCATCTGATCGTCTTTACAAACACCAAACACACACACTTTGGGTTTTTTGGAGGTGTGACATTAAAGAAAGGGGACAGAAACAAATAAGATGGTGAGATCAGTGTAAGTCTGGGATTTAAACTTCAGAGTGTTTGGGTGAAGAACACTTTTGTGTCTGTGCTAGAAGTCGTCAGAAGCAAGTACAGTGACCTGTGCAACTGTACGTTTCTATTTCCCTCAGTTTTTTCTTATTCTGCTTGAGGACAAACCCCAAATGTTTTTTAAGTTCTCTCTCATTTAGATTCGTGGATAAATACTATTCATCCCATTTACAGGTTTTCGACCTTGCTCTAAGGAACGTCCTCCAGGCATTAATTCTTCGAAGGGGAAGGTGCCTCTGTTTTAACAACAAAGCAGCAAGTCCTGCTCAGATGCTAAATGAAGTCCTGATGAATTCCTTGACACTAGACAGATCCTTTCTCAGGGCTGCACATGGACAGCACAGAGTGGACCTTACACCACGTGGCTTGGGGTCACCAGTGTGCTGCCTGCCTTCACAGCTGGCACGATTCAAACTTCCAGTAAGTGCTGGCCATGAGCAGATGTGAATGGTTCCTCTTCCCTCTGAGCTGGGGCCTTTGTGACATGCTCAGGGTGACCCCAGTGAGGTCCCATGGGGAGCCCCTCAGCCCTGCCCCAAACCCTCCTGCCTTCTACTTGGACCACACCGGTCAGCACCCACCATCCTGTGTAGGTGATGATGCAAACAGCCTGTGCTACCCATTGTCCAGGAACTCTCTGCTACGACAGATGGTGATGAGGCCAGGGAGTATTTTCTACCCTAGAACATCTTTTCTGATTCCATCCTCTCATGATTTCTCATCAGGGAGGCCAGGTAAGACTATATGCACTCTGATAGAATATTCCTGAACCGTATTGGGGCATTTAGAGGAAGTGAGGCTTTAGAGGAAAAAAAGCAGGGTAACCTATCACTCGTCATTCAATTATTCTGCAAAATGTTTATTCAACATCTACTAGGTGCCAGGGGTTGTTCTAGGCTTTGGGGATATGAGAGCAAACAAAACGTACGAACATCCCAGCCCCTGTGGAGCTTGCAGTCGGAGGATGGCTGTGCCCTGAACTTTTAGGGAGGGTGGACCCCACTGGGAAGGAGGCGTTGGAGCCCCTCACCCAAAGACGTGAGGAAAGGTGTGGGCACACCTGGGGAAGCGTGGGCATCAAGGCGCATGGGCAGATGCGACTGGCCTGGAGGAAGGGGCTCAGCCGTGAGCAGCAGGGTCTTCCTGCAAACACACACCCGAAGAGGAAACCGCCGCCTCTCGGAGTCACTCTTGGTTAGGCTGAGGTCCGGCCGATAGTGAGGAGACACCACAGTGTCACTAAACAGAGAGCTTTGTCCCCGCGTGAACCAGGCACGGGTAACAACTGAAGGTATATCTCTTAAGAATGCCAAACTCTTATTTTCCCCTTTTGTAGCAAACTGTTTTTGCTTTAGAAGCAAAAAGTCTGCTCCTCATCCCCCTTGCTCTGTTCTGAGGTTTTCTCACTGGCAGGTGCACAGGACTAAGAGAGTGTCAAAAAATTATAGCTAACCCAGTGGCCCCTCCTCCACGAAACTTAATAATCTAAAATTATTTCAAATCTCAAGAGATGAGAGAAATTTGATAGTACCAAATACCAGAGTCCTCTAATTATATCATCATAATCTATCATACATCATATGATTATAATATCATCATAACCTATACATATTTGAATGCTTTTTACTCATTCTTCCCTCCTCCCAGCCCCTGTCAACTTCTAATCTGCTTTCTCTTGATGGATTTGTCTGTTCTGATCATTTCACATAAGTGGAATCATACAATATGTGGCCCTTGGTGACTGGCCTTTTTCACCTGGCATAGCTTTAAAGGTTCATTCGTACTTCACTCCTTTTTATGACTGCATAATACTCCATTCTAAGTAACACTATAGCACATCTGTTTATCATCAGTTGATGGTCCAGGTTATTTTGCTGCCCATTAAAGTTTGGGAACAATTCACCTAAATTTCAAATTCAAATGTTGTAAGGATAACACTCGTACACGGACAAATCCATACCTATTTGTGCCATAACAATCAGAAATGCAATCCAGGCTTGTCACAGGTCTCCCTTCATTCACTTTATTTAGAAACAGTCTGTTTTTTGGGCCGGCCCGGTGGCGCACTGGATAGTGCGCCGCTTGGGAAGCGCGGCGGCGCTCCCGCCCGAGGGTTCGGATCCCACATGCAGACCGGTTCCCGCTCACTGGCTGAGTGAGGTGCGGGAGCAACACCGAGGGTTNAAGTTTGGGAACAATTCACCTAAATTTCAAATTCAAATGTTGTAAGGATAACACTCGTACATGGACAAATCCATACCTATTTGTGCCATAACAATCAGAAATGCAATCCAGGCTCGTCACAGGTCTCCCTTCATTCACGTTATTTAGAAACAGTCTGTTTTACACCGAGGTTCCATATTCTGAAAAAAGGCCAATCTATAGCATTTTGAAAACTTTATCTGATTTAAGGAATATGATAAAAATTCAGTGAGTATATGTGTCTTAAAGCCAAATTTAAATCAGGAATGAATTTGCAAATATCTTTAAGTATTACAATAAATTGACTAATTAAGGTGCAGGAAAGATTCCGGATGTGAACAGAGTGATATTTCCCTTCCACTTGCTTCAAAATCCAAAGTTTGATAATTCTGCTTTCCTCCCACTCCTATTTTTCCTTTCTTATTTAATAGCTCTGTTCCCTGGAGCATCCATGAAAAGAACATTGAATTGGGTCATGTAGTTGCTTATGACATCAAAGATCTTGTACAGACCATGGTCTGTATTTAAAAAGACAAGCCTCAGTTTCTTCCATAGCTTTTGGCCAGCTCATCACAATGTACTTTTTGATATGCCTAATAAATTATCCCAAGTATGCTAGGACAGCAGCTAATTGAATTGACATATGGCAATGATAGCCTGGTGCAAAGCAATAAAGTTGGAGAATTACTCAGAAAAGAAGTCCTTTAGCGTGATACCTTCTCTTGGCACAAGAATACTTTAAAATGATTATACCTG